ACCCTTGTAAAAACAAGTTTCCTGCTCTCCCTGCCACTCGGAGCTTTAATCTGCTGTTTGGGACACGCTGATTTCCACAGCAACCAGAGAGGGATTACGACCTTGGAGAGGGAGTTGTGCAGGGAAACGAGGTCCTGGGGGCAGCCAGGAGCACTCCTGGAGAGCTCCTCCAGGGAACTGCTGGGATTTGCACTCCTGCTTCTTGTTTTCCTTCAACCCTTGCAGGATTTTCCCTGAAAATCCACTTTTTGTGGCTATTGCTGAGTGTGAGGACTTGGGAAAATGGTGTTGGAGGTGGAATTTAAGGAGGAAAGGGAATTGTTTGTGGATATAAATGTGTATATTTATGTAAGTGCATCCTGAGGCTGCTCCAGGTGTAAATGAGCTCAAAAACAGGGACACAGATGCCTGGGAAAAGCAGCCAAAAGGGAGAAGGCAGAAGCATAGCCTGGAATTCTGCGGTTTGCTGGGATCTAGGAGGGAGTGAGAGGCTTCCCACTGCCAGGGAGCAGAGTGGGATGGGATGGTGGGAAGGAATTCCTCCCTGAGAGGGTGCTGAGGGGCTGGGATGGGTTTTCCAGAGGATGTTCCATCCCTGGGAATGTTCCAGGCCAGGTTGGATGAGGCTTGGAGCCACTTGGGCTGGTGGGAGGTGTCCCTGCCCATGGCCGGGATGGGATGGGATGGGATGGGATGAGCCTTAGTCTCCCTCCCAGTCCAGGCCATTCTGTGCCAGTCCCAGGCCTGGGAGATGCCTTTTCCCAGCCTGGTCCCTCCTTGCTGCTCCTGAGGCTCCGTGGGTGGAGGAGCTGCTCCTGATCCAGCATTTCCAAACACTTGTGTTTTGCTGTGGATGTTGAGGATGTTCCTTGCTGTGCCCTTGGCTAAAGTCAATGTTTCCCTTAAGTATTCCCTGTTTTCCTAACCTCTAAACCACCCAGTGCAGCTAAACAATCCGATGTCAAATGTTTCCCTGGAGCTTTGGGGAGGGATTCAATCCTTGGAGCTGCAAACCCTCACACTCCTCATCTCCCAAGCTTTTCCCTGTGCTCGGAGCCAGGGGAATAATTCACCTGGAATTTCTCTGCTGATGGCAAACTGCTCCTGGGGCTGAGCTCAGACTCCTGGGAAAAGGCTTTTCCCAGAGAAATTGACTGGAAAAAAAACATTTCCAGTCCATTTTGGAGCATATTTCCTTGGATTTTGGCTTAGGGGGGTAAGAAAAGGAAGTGGTTTCCCTCTTGGAGCTGGTCGTGCCTCAGGGAGGGATGT